CGCGGCCCACTGTGGCTGAGACACGCTTAGAACTCTAGAATCTGATCTGCCAAGGGAGCGCGCTGACGAAGGTGCCACTGTGCCTCTGAATAGCTACCGAAAGACACCTCGCACAACAAACACTCGTAAGGGGGCGGGGCCACGAGATCGAACACAATAGCAGAACCTCTGGGCCTATGACATTTACGCATTTGAAACCGTAGCCACGCGAGCGAGCTCGCGAAAGCCATGGTTTGGAAGCTGAGAGTTAGCTTGGTGAAGGAGTAGTTGGCGCCTAGAAGGATATTCAGCACTACAGACACCCCCCCCCTCCCCCAGGCTGAGACCACAGACGAAACCAGGGGGCGGGGGAGGCGGCGGCGGCGGAGGAGAGGGCGGAGAAGCCCCCAGGGACGCGGAGGGAGATATCTGTTGACCTTGGCATTCTCCAGCGAGGACAAGGGGACCAGTGCTGAGGAAAGCATGGCGCATTTCTTCGTCGCAAAAAAAATCGCAGCAGGTCGCACGCGCACTTGCTCAGCGTGCTGCGGGCACTCGCCCGCCCGAAAAAAGATCCGCAAATTCTGCTAGAAACTGGGCCCACCAAGAACGCATCGGCCCTATGCGATATCCCTCTCCATCCACACTCCTGACCTAAGTGTCCCCCCAGTAACTCCGGGGCACAGCCGCGGCAACGTATGTAGACAACTTCCCAACCTTGGGGGCTGATCCTGACACGGTTGGGGCTCGTCTTGGAGTTGTTGTCAAGGCGCTTCGGTCCTCGGGGCTGGTCGTGCACGAGCTCGAGGGGGCAAGCAAAGATCGTGAGTTCCTGGGCATGTCTCTCCGCGACGGTCGTTATCTGTGGGTCAAGAACCGTGAAGTGTGGAGGTTGAGGTATGCCTTGGATGAGCTGTTGCGGAGGCATGCTATCAGCGGGCACCTGTTGCGCATCGTTGCTGGTCACGTCACCTGGACGAGCCTGGTGCGTCGAGAGCGTCTGTCGCGCTTGCACTCCAAACCCGCTTTTTATCCAAGCTGCCGGCGCTGCGCGAGTGGCTCTGTTCGTGAAGAGCTCGAGAGCGTTCGCAACCTCCTTCCCTTTGCTCTGCGTGGATCTTCGCGCAACCCATGGCATCCGCGCGCAGCGCGCGCCGACGCCTCGCCTTTTCGGACTGGGGGGTCGTTCGCCGCAAGTGGAACCCTTCTCCTCCTCCTCCTTCTCCTCCTCCTCCTCCTCCTCCTCCTCCTCCTCCCTCCCTCCCCCCCCCTGCCTCCCCCCCTCCCTCCCTCCCTCCCTCCCGAGAGCTGGGACGTCAGAAAGAGAGATTCCGCTTCAAAGATCGAAGGTGGCGCGAGGGCCCGTGAGCGGGCCTTGAAGGGGGCGGGGACGAAGGTCGACGTCGCGATGATCTGGGCGAGGGAGGAGCAGGGCCCCCTGTGGGCCACGAGCGGGAAGGAGCCCGACAGGATCCCCGGGGGGGAATTCTCGGAGGTACCCAGGCGGTTACCACGGCCTGCGTGCTGGGACCCAACAGTCTGTTCCTGGAAGGGGAGGCCGGGGTGATGGGCTTCAAGAACGTCCTGAGGAGCCGCACGACTCACGGCAGGCGGGTCCCGGTCCTATCCGACAACCTGCCCCTGGTCTTGGCCGCGGGGAGGGGACGGGCAAAGTTGGCCCATCTTCGGCAAGGTTTGCACCGCGTGTGTGTGTGTGTGTGTGCTCTGTCGCTCGCCACGGGCTCGAGGCTTGCCGCGAAGTGGGTTCCCTCCGAGCCGAACCCCGCCGACACGGTCTCCAGAGGCGAGGTCGGACGGTTCTCGAGGGCCCGGGTATACCCCCAGGCGGGGCCCGAAGATACCGTTGCTGACGCGCCGCCCGGGCTGGCTGCTGGCCGCGGTGGCGGCCCTGCTAGGGGCGGGAGCGGCGCACGCTGCCAGGACTTCTGGGCTGTTGGCGACGCCTGCCCTGAAGCACGAGCGCGCGCAGGCGGCAGCGCAAGTCGCCCGCGCAGCGCTCCGCTTCACAGGGCGCTCGACGCCGGAGAACGCGGCGATACTGCCGTCCACGACTCGGAACCACCAGAAGGCGCAGGAGGCGTTCACCGCCGACTGCTCCGAGCGCCACCTGGACTGGTGCTCGACGCTGGAGCTGGACGCGGTGCTGGTGCCAAGCTTCGACATGCTGTACATCCTCGGTCGGCGAGAACGGCAACACGGGCTCCCAGCTGCTGGCGGCCCTCAGCCATGTGACGCCAGTGCTGTGCAAGGCGGTGCCCAGGCTGCCCCGCTGCCCAGGAGCGCCCGCTTTGCGATAGCAGCAGTGCTGGCGAGCTGGGGCCAAGCGCGGATGGCCATCTGCGCGGTGCTGAGCTTCCTCTGCTACCTGCGCTCAGGCGAGGCCATGCGGCCTCGTGGCCGCAGCCTGGTGCTGCCTGCGGCGGCAGCGGGCCAGGCCTGCGACAAGTGGGCGTCGCTGCCCCACGACGTTGTGAACCGGGTACCGAGCAAGGTCGGCCTCTTCGAGGAGTTGGCGATCATCGACAACGAGCCCTGCATCTTTTCAGTCCTGCAGGCGCTGAAGCTCTCGACGCGGGCGGAGGACCGACTGTGGAGCGTCGACCTCGGCCAGTACAAGCGTTCCTTCGGCGAGGCGACAAAGGTGCTGTCGCTCGACCGCCCGCGGCCGCACCTCTACTCCCTGCGGCACGGTGGAGCCTCGGAGGACATCACATCCTGAGCCTCCGAACGCCAGAGCAGGTGCAGCGCCAGGGCAGAGAGGGGCCACGCCAGCAGCATGAAACGCCATGCACAGGAGCCCAAGCTGCCGGCGGAGCTGCACTGGGCTCCGCTCGCCGCGCTCTCCTTCGGCACGCTGGCGGAGGCGAGCTTCCGCACGGTGCTCGAGGGCGCCTTGGCCAGCCGCCATCACCCGCTGCTGGCACGGATGCCGGCCTCGCTGGCAGGCGCCCTCGCGGCGGCATCTGCTGGAGGCCTTCCGGCGAGCCACGCGGCAGGCTCACAAGCACAAGCGGCGTGTGTTCTGGAGCTCTTCTGTGGCATTGGCTCCATCACGAACGCCATCCAGGTCGATGGCTTCGCGGCCGTGGGCCTCGACATCGGCAGCGGAGCCAATGAGCATCATCTCGTGCATGAGTTGTTTGATGTGATCCGCGGCTGGATTACGTCTGGCTGTGTGGCAGGTATCTGGCTTGGCACACCCTGCACCACGCGGAGCCAAGCCTTGAGACAACTCCTTCGGCCTAAACTGTATCCTATGGACCTCCCAGGTCTGAATCCCAAGGAGAAGGCGCGATTGGACATTCGCAATCAGACCTTCAGATTCTCTTGCAAAATCATTTGCTTGGCTTCGCGTTGGTCTGTACCCACTTTCCTGGAGAATCCAGCGGGCTCCCTCATGTGAGAGGCGCCAGAGCTGATCAGGCTGTTGCGATTGCCATCGGCTCAGCGGATCAGCCTTCATAAAGGCCACCTGTATCGCATCGTGGAGCTCGTTGCTCCTCGACGCCTTCAGCAAGTGTACTGGTCACAACCTGCTGGTGTTCTGCTTCCAAGAAAAAGCACGTTATTCTCTCGGGGCATGCGCCCCAAGGTCCGCATTTCACTCGTCGGGCAGCCGAATACACCAAGCAATTTGCGGTGAGGTTCAGCAGACTTCTTCAGCATTCCTTTGAAGATAAACGCGCTCGAAGATGTTCGCAGTTTGCTGTTAACGATGCGTATTTGTTCTAACACGTTGTTCGGCCTCGTCGTGTGTCTCTCCCTCGGCCCATTCACCGTACGGGTACGGGTGTGTGTGTGTGTGTCGCTCTGGCTTGGCGCCGTCGGTTTCGAGATCCTCGTAACTATCTGCCCGGTCGGCCTCCCACACAAAAAGAGAGCCCTGGCGGGTGCGAAGGTCGGCGAGCTGTCACGGTTACCATGCTTAGGCATAGCCAGTCCTGTGTCCCGCCGCATTTGCCCGCTCAAGTCTTCCCTCCCTCCCTGCCTCTCTCGCGTGCCTCGGGGCTGTGGTGTTTGTGTGTGTGTGCCTTGCCTCCGTGGCCTTCCCTTCCCCCTGCCTGTCTGCAGACTGTAAGCGCGTTCGCCTTTTAATGCAGGGTGTGTGTCTCGGGCTTGGCCAAGTTCTTCGGCACCGCCTGTACTCTGAGCCCTCCGGCCGCCTGAGGCCCTGCCCGCCAGGGCCCTGTCTCCCCAATTAGGGCTACTCGCGTCCCGTTTAGCTCTTGACCGGAAGGGGCCCGCTCCCGACCCGCAGACCCAAAAAAAGTGTCTCGGGCTTGGCGCCGTCGGTTTCGAGATCCTCGTAACTATCTGCCTGGTCGGCCTCCCACACAAAAAGAGAGCCCTGGCGGGTGCGAAGGTCGGCGAGCTATCCATATTCACCGCTTGCCGAGGTCCCCAAAGATCCATCCCCAGGCGTTGGCTATGGATCCATCCCCGCCTCGGTTGGGTGCACGAGGCGAGCATACAAGGAACGGCCATGGAAGGACGCGAGGAACAGCTAGCCCATTCCGAACCTGAACTGTTCCATACTTCAGCGTCTTGTTTTTTTTTTCTCCATCGCTTTTGCGTGTGCTGCAGTTTGTGTTGCCGGGAAGTTTTTGGAGAGGGCGATCAACGAATCTGACCAACAACGACGGCGCCCGCGAGCAGGCCAGGCCTGTTCGTCGTCGCCCACGGCGCTGCTGCGTGACGCATCCCCCCGGGCATTTCTTAACCATCATCCTGCACTCATGTGCCTGCTTGTTGCCGTGCTCGCGCTCCTGGAGGCTCTCGCAGCCACGGCTGGGCGCCGCGCGCAACACTGGCCGGAGGGAGCCCGGGAGGGGTCCAGGGACCGACTTCGAGCGGGCGGCATCGGCGTTGCTGTTACCTCTTTTTTGTCGGGCGTTCCTGGGGCTTCTCCTCACCACGGCAGTGCGCAGCTCGAAAAACATCGGCCAGGATGGACCCAGGGCACCGCTCTGGAGCGGCCTGTTTCGCAGGGAAAGCCCGGCCTCTCTGATGTAGTCCCGCGGCTTGAAGCGCGCAACGTTGAGCGCGTGGGACTCCCGGAAGATGTCCCGCACGTCGCTGGCAAACATGTCCGTCATGACCGCCTCCGTGGACGGCAGCATCGACTCGTCCGCGGAGGTCATGGTGCGGAGGCGGCTCACGAACGGTTCGGGCGCGGAGGCCGAGCCCACGCTCGTCTGGCGCGCGGGCACCTTCTGCGATGGTGACAGGCACGGCGACTGGGGACGCGACGGGGTCTCGTCCCCGGCAGACGTGGCCGCGGCGTGCTCGGGGGCCTGGAGATGCTGCCTCTCCCGCTGCCACGCCTCCACCAGGAACGCGACGAAGACGTTCGTGAGCACAGACACGCTGACGATGTGGTACGACACGAAGAACAAGTCGGCCCAGGGCCCGACCGCCTGGCGCACGGCATCGGCCACGACGAACCAGTTGTTAACGATGCCCTGCTCGAACACGACCATGATGGCAGACGGCAGCGAGTTGAAGTTGTTGGACCAGTAGGCTGACTGGAACCACTGCGTGCCCTGCAGCGAGGGGTTGGACTTCCGCAGAACCCCTCCGAAGAGCACCAGACCGACCTCCGCGTACATGAGAAGCACGACAAGATAGGACCAAATCACGACGAATCCTGCCGACACGACCCGCGCCACGGTGCGCAAGAAATCCTGGACCTGGCGGCGCCTCCCAAAGAGACGGAGGGCGCGCAGCAGTCTCAACACTAGAAGGTTCTTCACGAAAAACATCGGTATGTCGACGAACGGCTGCATCAAAACCAAGTCCCCCACGGTTAGAAGAAGAAAAACATGCATGAACATCGACTTGCGTAGGTCCGTGCGGATTCCTTGGGTCGCCGCTGGGCCTTCGAAAGTTTATGCTCATGCCGAGGTTTCTTCTTCGAATGGTTGCGCAGACGACCAAGACGATTTCGCAGCGCTGGAGCACCGTGTCGCCGCCTATGCCCAGCCAGAACAGTGCGAGGCCTCCGTTGGCCCACACCCGGAGGCCCATCTCCGCGGCCCAGAGCACGGTCCAGAAGGACAGCAGCCAGCGCGACGGGATGTACCTGCTGTGGAGCACGCCGTCCGCCGGCAGCTGGACCGGCCACAGCGACAGCAGGGCCAGGTTCGTGCCCAGCAGCACGTCCAGGGCCACGTTGGTGCTGGTGATGGGCCTGTTTTCCACCACCACCACCATGAGTTGGAGGGGGAGGGGGTCCTCCTCCTCCTCCTCCTCCTCCTCCTCCTCCTCCTCCTCCTCTCTCCTCCTCCTCCTCCTCTCCTCCTCCTCCTCCTCGTCCTCCTCCTCCCCTCCCTCCTCCTCCTCCTCCTCCTCCTCCTCCTCCCTCATTCCCCCCTCCAACTTATGGTGGTGGTGGTGGAAAGCAGGCCCCTCAGCTGGGGCGCGCCAGGAACGCGGCGGCCGCCTGCCGCAGGGGCCCAGGGGCGACCTCCAGAGCGTCCGCCCTCCGCGCGTGGCGCAGGGAGCGGACCACGTCCCTGCTAGGGGGCCACATGCGAACCCTGCCCCTGCCCTCCCCCTCAGAAATCGTGGGGGGTAGGGGTAGGGTTCGCATGTGGCCCCCTACCTGTCGCCCAGGGTCATGACGAGGGCCTCGAAGCTGTAGACGTCGAGGCTGTCCGGCTTCACCACGGCCCTCCTCCGCGGCAACGCGAAGCCGCCCGCGCCGTCCGCGGAGAGCAGCCGGGGCCGCCCGCCGTCGTGGGGGTCTGGGTCCCCGCCCGCGAAGTGCATCTGGACGAAGTCGAAGACGGCCTGGGCGCGTGCGCGCGGGTCCCTCTCGGGCACGATGGGCATCCAGCGGTGCCAGCAGCAGTAGAAGTCGCACCACGCCTCCCTGCCCATCACCTTTGACGGGGCCCTGGGACACACAAATAGATACACACCAATAAAAGGATTCCCCATGTTTTCCTATATTGTCAGGGTTTCTGTCGTCCCCCCACTTCACATATTTTCCCATATTTTCTGGGGAATCGACGATTAATTGTGCCTGTGTGTTTTCCCCTCCTGAACCTTCTCGGATACCGCGACCGCCGAGCTGGGCGGCGAGGCCAGGAGGACGAAGGCCTTCGCCAGTCCTTCCTCGCGCAGGGCGATGGTGCTGCACCAATCCTCCTTGACGATGTCTCCGTGCTTGGAGTCCGCCAGGTGTGCCCTGAGCACGTCGTGGAGTGCCCCCAGGCGCATGCAGCTGTGAGTGGTGAGAGGGGTCGCGGGTCCTTGAAACAGCCCCGGCCCGACCCGCGATCTGCAAGAAGTATCGGGTACTCCTGGGCGCTCTCAGGGGTGTGCCGCAAGAGCCTCCCAAAGCCAAAAACTGCCGAAACATTGTTTGGACCCCCATCCCAAGGCGACGTGCACGAGGCCAGGTCCAGAGAACCCCCTGGAGACCCCATGGAGGCCACCAAGGCAACGGTGCATGGACAGGCCAGAGGCCGCTACATAGATGTCCGAAAACACGATGTTCAACAACACATATATGTGAATGACGAGGAACGAAGCAAAGAACAGAAAGCTCAGCCACGAAATTCCACCCTGATTCGTGATGGGCGTCTGCACGTCAGGGTAATTCGCTGTGGTCATGACCGTGAACATTGCCCGCAGCGTGCCAGCATACGTGTCGAAGGGCGCACCCTGGTCGAAGAAATACACCCGCGCCATCCAGGTTGAGATAAATATAGATATCGCCACGCCGAGATACAGCCACCGCGCGCACCACGCTGCCAAGGCCACCCGCTCGATGCCGTTTCGGATCCTGGACGAGCCAGCCGCGAGCGCGAGAGGCCTCACTATGCGATAAGGCCACACCCGCGCAGGCGCCAGCGCAGGGAGCGCCAGCCGCAGGAGCACCTCTGCAGCGCTGACAGTCAAAAGGCCGATGCAGAAATACCTCGCGCGCTGCCTCGGCAACCGGGCCAGCAGGTGAATGGCAGAGTCCGCCAGCAGCAGGCCCTGGAGCAGGAGCGCCAGCAGCAGGGCCCATCGAGTCGGCAGCGTTACTGGCGGCCAGATGCTCAGGTCCTCTGTGGGACGCCCGCCCGGGCAGAGCTCGCTGCGGGCCAAGCCGCTTTCGCCGAACGACTTCTCGCAATACCACGGCCTCTCGACCAAACCCATCAGAACATACAGCAGCAACGCGGCCACTCTGAGCCGGGTGGAGCGGCGGATGAAAAGGTAGGCACTGGCGGCGGTCCGGGTGTCGAAACTCAGGGTGCGCCTTGCCCCAGAGTCGGTCAAGGACAAGGCAGCCTCGACATGTGCCACGGCCCGAACAACCACGGTCTGGTCGCGAGCGGCCTTGGGGGAATACGCAAGTACTGGTACCGCTCTCCCCGGATATCTCTAGGGTGCGTCCTGAGCAGAATTTCGAGGCGAATCCGGCTGTCGCGACGAGGAAATGGTAGCGGTGTCTGTCTGTTTTCCTTTTCTGAAGCCTCGCGCGTCGGCTCGAGGCAGAGCGCGACCTTGTAAGCGAATGCGTCGAAAGAGCTTGACACCGGCGCAGGGTTGTCGTCGCCGTCGCCAGGGAAGAAACTGACGGTCCTGCCGGGCAAAGACATGTTGCCGGCGTCAGCACTGCGAGGGCTCTCGGCGACACGGTGGGAGTCGGGCGCCCTGGCTGGCCGCCGACAAGACACGGCTTGAGCCAGAGCATGCTTGCCATACATAATGGCTCAACACACACGCCACTTCTGAGACGGAAGCAGGGGGAGGATGAGCTCGGGTGAAGACAATTCTGGAATCATCTGGAGACCGGGCACATCTGGAGAACGTACCGGGCGCCGCGGCCGCTTCAGAGTGTTACGGAATGCTCTGAGAGCGTTTGGGAAAGCTCTGGAGGGATTTGTCCTCATCCCAGGCCCGCCTGAACCAACGAAGTCCACAGAGGCGTCCGCAGGCATACACATTTTAGCTGAACTTTGATCGTCGATCCCCCTCCTCATCCTAACCCTCGTCCCCTTAGCGGGCACCAAACGAAGGCCACCGATTGACTGAAGCCCGGGGAAGCGGCATGAGGTCATCGTGTCCCAGGGCTTTAGCTCCCACGCCAGCTGATTTCGGAATGGTTTCCGCTGTGGTTTCAGAAGCCGAGAACTCACCCGCGTGTCCAACAAGCGGGCCAAATATACGCAGTGCCACCGTAGCCGATGGTAATCGACGCGTTGCTTCAGGCATCGTTTCCCTGTGAGGCTGGACGGACCTTTCTTGCCCCAGAGTTATGACGCAGGCTGGCGGCTTCAGACTCCGATGGCTGGGGCGCCCCAACACTCGGCACTTCATGATTGTCTACGCTTCGGGCACCTCAACGGGCCCATCCAGCAAAGATTCATCAGCGAGCTCCCTTGGCAGGGTAGAGCAGGGGCACACAACGGCAAAGCCACAGAGAGGGAGGACAACCACCCCATCACCTGCACGCTCGCCCCTTCGTGTCTCAATCGGCAGGCTGAAACGCCTCCTGGGAGCCGCCTTGGTTGGCTTCTGGGCTCTGCGTGACAGCCAACGGGGGGTATGGCGACCACATCTCCCCAACCCCGTCGGGTTCACGAAGTGGACAAACAAATCGGAACCGAACTTGAAACCAACTCGGGGGTATACACCCGTGGGGGCGCCCATGCTTAATAAGGGTGCGTCCGACTCAACCTCCGTGAATGTATCCCCAAAGTTTCTATCGCCTATAAGCGGCAAATTGTTTGGTTGGCGGCGCCTGCCAGGCAAGGGCGTGGCGCGAGGAGGGTGGCCCTCCAAGAAGGCGGAAATGGCTTCGCAGGCTCAAATTAGACCTCGCCACCCCCATGGGGGGCTGCGATCTGCGAAGCTGTCGCCACTTTCGAGGGCTGCGGGGAGGAGCACCACCGTAGGGGGGCCCTGCCCGGATTTAGATTCGACCTCGCCGCCACTGGGGGGCTGCGATCCGCGAAACTGTCGCCACTTTCGAAGGTCGCCGGGCCCCCCCCACTGATGTTTCAAGCTCCCCATCCGCCTTCTCCCCATTAGTCCTTGCTTCTCTCTGCTTTCTGCAAGGAGAACTCGCTAATCACCTCCATCGAGCCCTTGCCCATCGATCGGTGTCTTGCGAGTCGCGCAGCTCGCGATACCCCCAAGAAACGTTCGCACAACATATCCATCTTTGCAACGCCATCACACCTTGCTTAAATCGACCGAACTAAATCGGCCACGCGTTGCGCAAACGTTGGGTACATCGTCCGGATTTCTGGTTGAACAACAATGTTGCAACACTAATGGGTTTTACATGTGTTCGGTAACCTCGATATTGACATCATTGCTGTTCGAAGGAGTTTGGCATGCGCGCGACGGCGCGCGCGTGCCGACTTGGTCCATCCAGTGTTGTTCAAGGAGTCTTTGCACACTGAGGATGCCTGATGAACGAGCGTGCACGCGTAACATTATGTGACGGGGATGACGAGGGGGCGATAACGGCCTCGCGGGAGTGGTATGATATTATTCTTAGAATGAACGATTGGGCAGCATCACATGTTACTTGTAATATCCCAAGGCGGAGGTCGCACTCTCTTTTAATAAAAAAGAGAATCGATCCAGCGTAAACGATGTACTGGAATATGTGGTGTGAGCTACGCGGTGCAATTTATGTGGTGCAGCATATGTGGTGCAATAGATGCTGCGCCATCTGTGGAGCACGCAAGACAATGCAAATCGACGTACTACAGTTCAAAGAGGAGCAAATAAAGCAATGCAGGATAACGCAATGCAGCGCAAATTAACACATATCAGTGCACAGTAACGCAAACCAGTCAAACATCATGCAGAGCAATGCAAAGTAATGCAAACCAGTGCCAAGCACTGCAAAGCAGTGCGAAGCAATGCAAAGCAATGCAAGCCAAAGCAGTGCGAAAGCAAAGCAAAGCGGGCGGCGACGGCGACGGGCAGCGAGGCGGCGACATGGCGGCAAGATCGGCCCGCAGGCTCAGGCGACGGGCGGCGACATGGCGGCCAGATCGGTCCGCAGGCCCAACAGACGGGTGGCGACGAGGCGGTCACGGGGCGGCGACAGCGGCGACATAGCGGCCAGCCCGCCGCGCAGGCCCAGAGGACGGGCGGCAACGAGGCGGCGACGGCGGCTACACAGTCGCCAGACCGCCGCGCAGGTCCAGTTCCTTCAAAAACCAATTAGAGCCCTCAAGTGCAAGCGCTGTTGGCGGAAATTGGCGCGGCTCGACAGCCCGAAGATGCAAACAGACCCTTCCCTAAGTGCTGCTTACGCCGAAGCTAGAGCGTATGCTGCCGCACCCCAAATGTGACAGCACAGCGCCTGGGAATTGTCGTGTCCATCACTCCCTCAAAAAAGTGTCACCCGATACTTCAGCTGGTGTTCCAGCCAAGGGACAGGAGACCCGGCGAATCAATGCGCACCCTGGAGAAACGATTACTCTCTGGGAGTGACTCCTGCGAGGAAGAGAACGAGGCGAGCGAGGACCTTGCACAGGACGATCGCACGTAAGATGTTCGCCAAAGAATTCAAGCACTCACCAGACTACAACACCCTCGCCGCGCGCAACCCGGGCTCTCAGCGGATGTGCTCGGTGTAGGAGTAGCAGAAAGGCTTCTCGTGCGCAGCGCACATGGAGTAGAGCCCGCTCTGGAGCACCATGTCGTCCAGCCCGTAGGCCCAGGGGCAGAGGCCGCTGAGTTCCTTCTTGAAGGGCTCCACCCAGGTGCAGAAGGTGGACTGACCGTACTTCTGCTTGCCCATGGGGCACGGCATGTCGTAGAAGAGGGGGTCCCTGGCGCGCATGTCGGTGTGGATGCCGTCGCACTGGAGCCCGCGATAGCGGTTGGTGATCTGCCACCTCTTCGTGGTGGGGACCTCGATGCCCTGCTCGTAGAGCGATTTCTCGGTTGCATATTCATTGGAGCCGATCTGCCCGGTGGCCTTCCGCTGACTGATGGAGTTGAAGGCGATGGGAATCTTAGTGCGCTCGTCGCGTCCCTCGTTGTGGGTCGTCGTGGCGGCCATGAGGGCCACGTCTTGGTAGGCCGGCGAGTCCCACACCAGCTTGACCTTCATCTCATGGAGCTTGTTGATGGCTTGCAGCAGGGCGGTCATCCTGTGCCTTGCCGGGATGAAGTTCGATCCAACCCAGACGACAACGTTGTCCCCCTCCACAGGGTCCACGCCGATCAACTCCATCTCCTTCTTGATCTCCTTCACGGGCAGCGTGTGGCTGACCCAACCGTCCCAGTGGATGAAGGATCCAATGCCCTCCTCCGTGCAGCCGTGGGGCAGCTGCGCTGTCCCCGGGGCCTGCTCGGCCTTGGAATAGAACCGCGCGTTGCTCCCCGTCCTTGACTTGGACTTGTCGTTCCTCTGCACCGTCCCCATCATGTCAGAAATGTCCTGCTCAGTGTGGTTGGACCACCAGATTTCAGGGCACTTGTTGAGGCGGTGGAACGCGTTGCGGAGGGACATCATCTGCGAATCGCCCACAAAAATGTGCTTCGTCCTGCCGTGGGAACGCTCCTTCATGCAATCCGACTTCAGCAGGGCTGCGTCCGGGCCGGTCATCTGCAGGGCGTCCTCGGCGTACCCTGCCCCCTGCAACTGCGCAAAGTACGTCGCCGCGTCCCAATTAGCCGCCTGGAGCATCTTGAACGTGGGGATCGGAAAGCCCTTCGCGCCAATGTCCAAGCAGAACTCCTCACTGAACTGCGACTTGCCATAGCTCTGCGCGTCGTCGGAATCACCTGCCTCGGAGAAGCCCAGCTCCTCTGGCGTCTGGTCACTGCGTCCTCCGCCCTCCACGTGGTCGACGGCGAGGTCATGTGCCGCTGCGGCGAGGCCCAGCGCCGAGGTGCCGACGACTACGAGGCTGGAGGCAAGGGCCAGGCGTGAGAAGGCGACCATTTCTTGTTGCAGTCAAGGGCCGCTGAAATGAACTTCGAGCACAGGATCGGAAAAAAGTGTGGGCCACAGAGCTACGGAGAATGAGGACGTCGGCGAGGAGGAGAGCGTTAGAATGATGGTCCCACCTGAGGAGGGTTCAAAGCTTGGCAGCGGCACCCAGGCGCGTTTCACTTGACCGCGCCGCTGTACTGGGTCAAACTTCGTTGGCGGCGATTGTGCGGATCATCATATCCTATCTCTCTTCAGTCTCAATCTCAGTTCCCCGACTTGCCGCCATTCGCCGACGGCGGGACTTGTTGGTTGCACAGCTGGGTGGAAAGTGAAAGTGAACAGTGCAGAGCATAAGTAGATATGTCAGGCCAACGCTGTCATAATTCAACAATCCTGTGGCGGAAACACTCGAGCGGACGAACGGGGCCCAGCGAATTCTGGACGCGCACGTGTGGAGAACCCTTAGGGACACAACGGCCCGGAGAAATAATATTTTCGCATGGTAGGCCCTACCATACGAAAGTATTACCCCATGCAGGTGAAACCCTACCAGGTAGGGCTCCACCTGCAGACGCAATGCCAAATATTGTAAGATTACCTGGAATATCCAAGTTACCCTCCCATCGGAAACACATTGGGACTAGACTCCGCTGGGAAAGCAGAGCGCGAATCCTGACGAGTCGTTTCAGAGGGGGACTCTCACCCTGCCGACAACACAACCAGATGAAATTTGGGCTGCCTCGAGCTTTTTAAGTGACGGGGGGTGAGCTCACCAGGTTTCTACATGGTGCGCAGAAGCGCCAAGAGTACTAGAAGCAGGGAGTGCCAGAAATGCTTGGTTCACGCGGCCGCACCGGCATTGTCAGTAACCGCAATACACGCGTACCCTTTGGCACATACGAGCGATCGGACCCATGTTCGTTGCCAGAGAACGCGGACCCAGGCCGAGGCGGTGGGGCGGATGCGGGCAGCGCGCGCGCGTCGGGGCCCATGCAAGAGCGAGGCGCGGGGAAAGAGAGGAAGCAGCCGCGGAGCCCACGCGCGCGCCCAGCGCGACGCGAGGGACGGCAAACGCCATCAGCACGGGAGGACCCGGCACCCAATGGGGGTGGTCGGACAGACACCAACACCCGAACAGGCTACGGCAGCTCGAGTCTCGAACTCTCCTGCAAAGGTCCCCTGGACCCGCCACCGCGCTCGCGACGGCTGGTACGTGACGGGTCCTCGCTCTTGTTCGCTCGGCTCCGCTCCTCGCGAAGCATTATCCGGGGGGGGCCGTCGTATCGAGAGCCACATCTCGCACAACGGAGAAAGAACCGGGGATCCAAAGTCAAAAGCTCGAGCAATACGTTCCGTGAGGCGTCGTGGACAAGGGCAGCAGAGGAGGACGACCCCTCAGGCCCAGGAGCGCCAGGGTACGGGGTGGTCGGGCTCTGGTCCGCTTCGCTCTGATCCAATCTGGTACCCCAGGAGCCCGCCCTCGCATGGCGTGACGGATTGGCGCGGCAGCTCAGCTGGACAAACTGGAACGCAAGTCGGACTCGCCAACCACCTCTGGGAACGCCGTGATGAGCCCCGGGAAATGGCAACTCTTGACACCTCGCGTACTCCCACCAGTCCGTCCAGCACCAATTCCAAGGCGAGCTGCCTTGACCTGGGAAGTGTACGACCATACAGCGGCACGCAGGGGCGTGGAGCCGCTCTGTTACTTCACCTGCACATTCTCAGTGCGCATCTTCTTCGGTAAGCAAAAGGGTTTCCCGCAGGGGCGCCGAGAAGGCCACTAAGGTTGACTCGCTTGTGCGAAGAAGCTAGGAGGAGTCAATAGTAAAGGCATCTGCTTATTTGTGCGAACGTTGAGCTCTACTGGGGTGTTTTTGCAAGCCCTTGGGGCTCTCTTAGGGCTCCTTGGGCGACCTCTTGGAGGTCTGAAAGGCCGATCCAGAAGACCATCGATGAAACAATGAAGGGCCGTAATACAAGGTCCCCTTGTCGGAGGCCGAACAATCCTCGCTTCGCTCTCGGGGGCCTCTCTCGGGGTTCCCTCGGAGATCCTTGAGGCCATTTTGGAGCCCGTCTGGAGCCGTAGTAATGGGGGATCTCTTTCGCAATATCAGGAACATCTTGAGGCCTCGGAAGTCCATCAGAACTGAATTCGAAAAACGCTCAAAACATTGGGATCCACGTATTCGACTGACGTGGTAGTTCTCCTGGGTAGATCCTTGGGAGGCTTTGCACCCCGTTGGAGCCGTCTTGCGAGCAGTACGTGGCCTCTTGGAGGCATGCTGGATACCGTCTCCGTCAACCTTGGGCTGCGCGTCATACTGGAGGCCATCATGCTGTATCCAGACTCATGTTGGAGCCGTCGTGGGCCCCAAGGACACCTCTGCCACCCCGCGGCCCCACCCCGTCCAGAAACAGTGGAGGGAGCGGGGGGTCTGGTTCCCAACGGAAACGGCGCAAGCTGCTTGCTCACAGCCACCCGCCCTCCGTAAGCCTAGGGAGCCCACAAAGGACGCACGCGCCCAGCTATGTGCATGAACGCGGCCCCTCGATCCGCGAGACTGGCCGCGTGATACGAGCATTCGGGCAATGCGTACTCTCGAAACCAGCGTGAATTCATGCACGTGTACGTCCTTCTTTCGCTCCCGAGCTGAGCAGCACCCGGGACTCGGCAAGGGGTCACCACCGGATGGGCAGCGGTTGGGAGCCGATACGGACGCCGGGTGCGCGACGCCCGCGAGGTGCACCACGCGTGCCAGGTGCGCCAGGCGCCCCAGGGGCCCGAGCGTGCCAGGCGCGTCTCGTGCACCAGAGGCGCCGCGTGCTCCCCGTGAAGAGGGCAGAAGATCCACCCCGATGATAACCACCCCGGCACGCGACGCCCTTTAGCAAACGCACCCAAAGCAGGAATCAAACAGGGCAGGGCAATTTAGTAAACGCCCAGGGCCGTTTAGTGAACGCCAGTTGTCCGGTCCGGGTGGTTTTTCCTCCGTTGAATGCGACGCGGTGCCAAAGTGTGCAGCATGCTCCAGCCGCGCCAGCCGCGCTAGATGCGAGACTTGCGAGGAGTGCGCCAGGTGCGCCAGAGTGCAACATCTCGACCCCCCCCCCCACACCATCCCTGGCAAAAACCAGTGCGAAGCTGCGCGGAGGGGTGGTCAGTATTATGTATCGTGTGTGCGTCCAATCAGCTTGCAATGACTTTCTTTACATGCACAATGAGCCGACGCGCAAGAGACAGCTACGATCACACAGCCGCCATCCCTGTCAAACATCAAATGGCCGCGTCCTTGTTATAGCGTTGCCAACTTGCGGCAGTCACACACCCGTGTTGGCGGGCATATTGTTTGACCCCTCTCGGGAGCCCTCGTGACGGAGCCCTCGGGAGCCCAACGGGGCTGGTGTGACCACGTGTTGGACACGTGACCCAACGCCGCTCCAAAGCCCTTGTGACGCGAACAACACGGACGGTGGCAAATGCTAAATGCACGCGGGGTGCCCGCTTATGATCCAGATGTTGCGGCAAGGTGCACTTCGCATGTTGTTCCCAACCATCCTGTGGTGTTGGGTCCACGTTTTGAAGAGACGGTCCCCGCGATCCTCCTTCTTTCCTTCCTCCTCCCCCACCTTTTCCCTCCTCCATCATCACAGTCATCACCCGTTTCAGCACACCCCTCACACGTTTCGTGGCCCCATGGGGAGCTCCACCAAAAGCCCAAGTGCTACCGCCCGCATGCGTCACCCCCCACCCAGTACAACGTTTCGTGGCCTCATAGGGAGCTCCACCGAAGTCCCCAGTGGCACCGCCCGCATGCGCCACCCCCACCCAGTACAACGCTTCGTGGCCTCATAGAGAGCTCCGCCGAAGGCCTCATTGGTACCGCCCGCATGCGTCGACCCCCACCCAGCACAGCGCTTCGTGGCCCCATAGGGAGCTGCACCGACGGCCCCAGTGCTACTGCCCGCGCGCGCCACCCCCACCCAGTACAGCGTTTCGTGGCTCCCTAAGGGAGTTCCACAAGGGCCCCAGCGGCACCGCCCGCATGCGTCACCCCCACCCAGTACAGCGCTTCGTGGCCTCATAGGGAGCTCCATCGAAGGCCCCAGGGGCACCGCCCGCATGCGCCACACCCACCCCGTACAGCGTCCCGTGGCCCAATATGGAGTTGCACCGAAGGCCCCACTGGCACCGCCCGCATGCGCCACCCCCACCCAGCACAGCGCTTCGTGGCCCCATAAGGAACTCCACCGAAGGCCCTAGTGGCAGCGCCACCCCCAGCCAGTACAGCGCTTCGTGGCCCCATCGGGAGCTACACCGAAGGCCCCAGTTGCACCGCCCGCATGCGTCACCCTTCCACCCAGTATAGCGCGTCGTGGCCCCATAAGGAGCTCCGCCAAAGGCCTCATTGGCACCGCCCGCATGCGCCACCCCCCACCCAGTACAGCGCTTCGTGGCCCCATAGGGAGCTCCACCGAAGGCCCCAGCGGCACTGCCCGCATGCGTCACCTCCACCCAGTACAGCGTTTCGTGGCCCCCGTGGGAAGCTCCACCGAAGGCCCCATTGGCACCGCCCGCGTGCATCACATCCACCCAGTACAGCGTTTCGTGGCCCCCTTAGGGAGCTCCACCGAAGGCGCCAGTGGCACTGCCCGCATGCGTCATCCCCCACCCAGTACAGCGCTTCGTGGCCCCATAGGGAGCTCCACCGAAGGCCCCAGTGGCAGCGCCCGCATGCGTCACCTCCACCCAGTACAGCGCTTCGTGGCCCCATAGGGAGCTCCACCGAAGGCCCCAGCGGCACCGCCCGCATGCGTCAACCCCACCCAGTACTGCGTCTCGTGGCCCCATAGGGAGCTCCGCCGAAGGCCCCAGTTGCACCGCCCGCATGCGTCCGTCACCCCCCACCCAGTACAGCGCTTCGTGGCCCCAGAGGGAGCTCCACCGATGGCCCCCAGCGGCAGTGCCGGCATGCGTCACACCCACCCAGTACAGCAATTCGTGGCCCCATAGGGAGCTACACCGAAGGCCCCAGTGGCACCGCCCGCATGCGTCACCCCCCACCCAAGGAACTCCATCGAAGGCCCCAGTGGCACCGCCCGCATGCGTCACACCCACCCCGTACAGCGTCCCGTGGCCCAATATGGAGTTGCACCGAAGGCCCCAGTTGCAGCGCCCGCATGCGTCACCTCCACCAGTACAGCGCTTCGTGCCCCCATAGGAGGGAGCTCCACCGACGGCCCCAGTGGATATACTTGTATGCGGTTCCCCCACCCAGTGCAGCACTTCGTGGCCCCGCAGGGAGCTCCACCGAAGGCCCCATTGGCACCGCCCGCATGCGACCCCAACCAGCACAGCGCTTCGTGGCCCCATAGGGAACTCCAGCGAAGGCCGCAGTGGCACCGCCCGCATGCGTCACCCCCCAGCCAGTACAGCGTCTCGTTTTGAAGAGACGGTCCCCGCGTTCCTCCTTCCTTCCTTCCTCCTCCCCCTCCTCCTCCTCCTCCTCCCTCCTCCATCATTATCGTCATCACCCGTTTCAGCACACCCCTCACACGCTTCGTGGCCCCACAGGGAGCTCCACCAAAAGCCCCAATGGCGGTGTTCGCATGCGTTCCCCCTACTCAGCACAGCGCTTCGTGGCCTCATGGGGAGCTGCACCGAAGGACCCAGTTGCACCGCCCGCATGCGTCCGTCACCCCCCACCCAGTACAGCGCTTCGTGGCCCCAGAGGGAGCTCCACCGATGGCCCCCAGCGGCAGTGCCGGCATGCGTCACACCCACCCAGTACAGCAATTCGTGGCCCCATAGGGAGCTACACCGAAGGCCCCAGTGGCACCGCCCGCATGCGTCACCCCCCACCCAAGGAACTCCATCGAAGGCCCCAGTGGCACCGCCCGCATGCGTCACACCCACCCCGTACAGCGTCCCGTGGCCCAATATGGAGTTGCACCGAAGGCCCCAGTTGCAGCGCCCGCATGCGTCACCTCCACCAGTACAGCGCTTCGTGCCCCCATAGGAGGGAGCTCCACCGACGGCCCCAGTGGATATACTTGTATGCGGTTCCCCCACCCAGTGCAGCACTTCGTGGCCCCGCAGGGAGCTCCACCGAAGGCCCCATTGGCACCGCCCGCATGCGACCCCAACCAGCACAGCGCTTCGTGGCCCCATAGGGAACTCCAGCGAAGGCCGCAGTGGCACCGCCCGCATGCGTCACCCCCCAGCCAGTACAGCGTCTCGTTTTGAAGAGACGGTCCCCGCGTTCCTCCTTCCTTCCTTCCTCCTCCCCCTCCTCCTCCTCCTCCTCCTCCCTCCTCCATCATTATCGTCATCACCCGTTTCAGCACACCCCTCACACGCTTCGTGGCCCCATAGGGAGCTCCACCAAAAGCCCCAATGGCGGTGTTCGCATGCGTTCCCCCTACTCAGCACAGCGCTTCGTGGCCTCATGGGGAGCTGCACCGAAGGACCCGGTGGCTGTAATCGCATGCGTGTCCCCCACCCATTACAGTGTTACGTTGTCCCATAGGAAGATCCACCGAAGGCCCCAGTGGCGGCCCTGCCTCACTGCAGTGCACCCCTTACACTGTTCGCCGCCCTGTAGCGCGTTCCGCCTAAAGCAAGAGTGGCAGCGCCCACATGGCGGCCCCGCCCCACATCGGCACACCCTTTGCATGCTTCATGGCCCCATGAAGAGATCCCCCGAATGCGATACCCGCAACGACGGTGCTCACTACTGCGTATGGTTGGGTCTTTCGCCCGGATATTTCTGTTGACAGGGGGTACGTGCCCGTGGGAGGGGTCGCCCAGCAACGTGGCAGCGCTACGAACATTGGCATAACAACGGCCCGCTCTGGGACATAGCTATTGGGGTGGGAAGAAAAACTGTGAGACCTTGGTCATTCCAGTTTTGCGGTGAACCCCACTGTATGTATGGGCACGTATGGGCATGGTCGATAGAACGCGGAAGGAACGTATAGTTGCGAAATAATTTCAGCTTGCTTACTCTGGCTGGCAATGACTTGAGGCATATGAACATAAGTTCTAAACCCTGTTGGCGTCCCTCATATAGCGCAAGAAGCTCGCGCACATACGAAGCTCACACTCACGCTTGATCGAGGTCGGCTGGTCACCCCACAGATGTTCAGATTCTGGATGGACGGGCATCACCATACCAGAACGAGAAAGGAGCCAGAGCACAGCTTGGGCGGTTCTCGTGCTCTTGGGGCCAACATTGTCGTGTCCATCATTCCCTCAAAAAAGTGTCACCCGATACTTCAGCTGGTGTTCCGGCCAAGGGACAGGAGACCCGGCGAATCAATGCGCACCCTGGAGTAACGATTACTCTCTGGGAGTGACTCCTGCGAGGAAGAGAACGAGGCGAGCGAGGACCTTGCACAGGACGATCGCACGTAAGATGTTCGCCAAAGAATTCAAGCACTCACCAGACTACAGCACCCTCGCCGCGCGCAACCTGGGCTCTCAGCGGATGTGCTCGGTGTAGGAGTAGCAGAACGGCTTCTCGTGCGCAGCGCACATGGAGTAGAGCCCGCTCTGGAGCACCATGTCGTCCAGCCCGTAGGCCCAGGGGCAGAGGCCGCTGAGTTCCTTCTTGAAGGGCTCCACCCAGGTGCAGAAGGTGGACTGACCATACTTCTGCTTGCCCATGGGGCACGGCATGTCGTAGAAGAGGGGGTCCCTGGCGCGCATGTCGGTGTGGATGCCGTCGCACTGGAGCCCGCGATAGCGGTTGGTGATCTGCCACCTCTTCGTCGTTGGGACCTCGATGCCCTGCTCGTAGAGCGATTTCTCTGTTGCATATTCATTGGAGCCGATCTGCCCGGTGGCCTTCCGCTGACTGATGGAGTTGAAGGCGATGGGAATCTTAGTGCGCTCGTCGCGTCCCTCGTTGTGGGTCGTCGTGGCGGCCATGAGGGCCACGTCTTGGTAGGCCGGCGAGTCCCACACCAGCTTGACCTTCATCTCATGAAGCTTGTTGATGGCTTGCAGCAGGGCGGTCATCCTGTGCCTTGCCGGGATGAAGTTCGATCCAACCCAGACGACAACATTGTCCCCCTCCACAGGGTCCACGCCGATCAACTCCATCTCTTTCTTGATCTCCTTCACGGGCAGCGTGTGGCTGACCCAACCGTCCCAGTGGATGAAGGATCCAATGCCCTCCTCCGTGCAGCCGTGGGGCAGCTGCGCTGTCCCCGGGGCCTGCTCGGCCTTGGAATAGAACCGCGCGTTGCTCCCCGTCCTTGACTTGGACTTGTCGTTCCTCTGCACCGTCCCCATCATGTCAGAAATGTCCTGCTCAGTGTGGTTGGACCACCAGATTTCAGGGCACTTGTTGAGGCGGTGGAACGCGTTGCGGAGGGACATCATCTGCGAATCGCCCACAAAAATGTGCTTCGTCCTGCCGTGGGAACGCTCCTTCATGCAATCCGACTTCAGCAGGGCTGCGTCCGGGCCGGTCATCTGCAGGGCGTCCTCGGCGTACCCTGCCCCCTGCAACTGCGCAAAGTACGTCGCCGCGTCCCAGTTGGCCGCCTGGAGCATCTTGAACGTGGGGATCGGAAAGCCCTTCGCGCCAATGTCCAAGCAGAACTCCTCACTGAACTGCGACTTGCCATAGCTCTGCGCGTCGTCGGAATCACCTGCCTCGGAGAAGCCCAGCTCCTCTGGCGTCTGGTCACTGCGTCCTCCGCCCTCCACGTGGTCGACGGCGAGGTCATGTGCCGCTGCGGCGAGGCCCAGCGCCGAGGTGCCGACGACTACGAGGCTGGAGGCAAGGGCCAGGCGTGAGAAGGCGACCATTTCTTGTTGCAGTCAAGGGCCGCTGAAATGAACTTCGAGCACAGGATCAGGAAGGGAGTGTATGAGCAAGGATTGAGCCAATGGCTACAGAGGCGTTGACTGTGACTGCGCAGCTCGAAGTGCCCCTATTTCCCAGGCAGCTCGTTCACTAATCGCGATCGAGGAACAAAACACGACATAGTTACGCATGACCTTTCGGAGGTCCGCTCGGATTTCTGGGATCGGCGCTGGGCCCTCCTTCCTGGCGCGCTCCGCGCGCCAGGAGCGGCGCTGGAGGCGCCGTCAAGTGGTCCCAGCGCCGCTCCGAGAAATCCGCGGACGTCCGAAAGCCTGAGCTAATGCCGTGGCGATTGGAGATTAGCGTCCCCGATCGATACACCCCCGCCACGGAGTGGCCAAAGAAGCGACCGCGGGCCATTTGGAGACGACGCCTCTCCCGTGGCCCCAGCACCCCCTGAAACCGGCCCTGGCCAGGAGATCGAATCCGAGAACACACGTCCCCATACCCACGGCCTCGCGGTCTGGACTCTCCACGGCCCCGGCCCGGTGGGTGCACGGCGCTTTCTGCGAGTGTGACGTGGCTCGGCCCTTCCACGGCCCAAGATCGGTGCATGCGCCTTCTGGCCCATCCAGGGCGACATATACGCCGATCCTGGACCCAGGAGTGGCATTGCCCAGCTCGGCGTCGGAGTGTGGCTGCCGTCCGCCCAGGGGCGGCGGAGGGAGGTCCTGGCTCAACACGGAACGCATCCGTGGGATCGCGCGCCGG